TTACTTCAAGTTCATCAAGGGACTCCTAAGTTATATTTATTATGTAAATAGTTTATTATGCATATATATTATGTAAATAGACGACTTTGACCCCTAATAATATTTCTTTAACAAACTATTCTCCGAAAATGAACTCTGAAAAAATCAGCTCGCAACAGTGTGACAACGCCGAGTTTTCCCCAATAAGATTTCCTTAAGAGCACAGTTTAGTTTAGTTCATTTATTATGCACCCCATACCCATCTTGTGGGCGGTAGTGGAAAGGGTTACAGAGGCACATAATGGGCTCAGGGACTGAACCCCACAATTCATTTAGCTAAGCAAGTTACAATCTTGATGAGCTAGTTACAAAATTCAATATAAGTCATCACATCAACAATGGGTTCGAGATCGACCTCAAGTACAGGTTCTAAATTAAGCAACTGACATATGTGGAGAGTTAGTGTCACAAGTTATATGTTTGTCCTGCACACCGCCCCCATCCAGTGGGCAGCGGTGGATAGGTTACAATCACTTAGTTACTACCTACAGTTAGCAAACTGGGGATATTTGGCTAAAATTTCTGGTAGTAGATCATTTTGAATGAAATATTGACACATCGCTGGAACATTGGTTATAGAATTGTCTCTAAATTCACGTATCTTTTCGCACTCCATCACATAGTGACGGAGGGTGTGCGAATAATTTTGTTGACACAGTTTACATTTGGTCAGGTCTACATCAGCAGATAATGAGAATTCCCAGAGATACTTGTAACCGAGTCTAAGCCGAGCAGTAGTAACATCTAGAAGTCTGCTGATTTTATTGGATGATCCATAGATGTGTGGCTCCTCTTGCATGATAGTATGATGATAGATGGAATTACTGGTGTCAATTTCACTTTGCCTCAGATCTACAAGATCTTGTTGAAGTTCTCGGTGTACAGCTGCTCTCAGATTGCTCATTGACAATCCAAGGTTACACTCAACGGCTCCTTTAAAGGCAGATTCTTTGGCTAACTTATCAGCTCTATCATGCATTCGGAGGCCAACATGAGATGGAGACCACATGAAATGGACTCTGTTACCATCCTTAGTAATTTTGTTGTATTTGTGTCTAGCTTCGGACACGAGCATGTTACAGTTATGTCTTAAAGAGTTGAGAGCATTTAAGGATGATAAGGAGTCACTTACAATTAATGTATCAAGTTTTGAGACTTGTACACATTTCAGTGCAAGGATCAAGGCAAATAGTTCAGTCTGAAGGGTAGAGGCCCAGTTGTTTATACGGACTCCCCACTCAAAGTATAGGCCATCGCCCATTGTCAGGACAACTGCACTTCCAGCTGCACCCGTGGTGCGGTGTAGGGAACCATCAGTGTATATAATTTGAGAGAGAGAATGCTCTGTGGACAGAGCATCAATATGGCTTAAGGCGTTGAGCTTTGCCTCAAGACGAAGCTTGGGCTGATCTCTAATTTGCTTCTTGGGTGGAAAGGGAGGGATTAAAACTGGAAAGGGTGTAACCTCCCACGGTGCAGGAAAGTGCCGCTGTTGTTTCTCTTGGTACAAATCATGAACCTGATACATTCTGAGTTGAGTTCCAGTTTTTGTTATCCATTTGGAACAATGCTGATCTTCAATAAAGAAATTCTGGAGGGCTTCTGTGCAAGGATTAGGATGAGTTAGCCTAAGCATTTTTATACCAATTTGACAGTTAATTTCAGTAACACGATCAACAACGCTCAGAATATTAAGTTCCTTTCTCATATTAAGTATCTTTGTGGTACAAGGGCACCCAAGGATTATCCTCAAGGCTTCGTTTTGCAATTTTTCAAGCCCTCCAAGCTTTCTTTCAGGCATCAAAACAAGCAGAGGTGCAGCATAATCCACTAAAGATCTGATGTATGCAAAGTACATCATTTTGACAATTCTGACACTGGCACCATAGCCTGAGTGATAACCTGCAACAGCCTTGAGAGCTCGGAGCCTCTCTTTAAACTGACGACAGAGTCTGAATACACCAGGACCGTACAGTGGCACCTCAAGGCCAAGGTATTTGAATCTGTTCACAGTGATGACATTTTCCCTAAATTTCCCTAATACGGTTTCTTTAACAAACTCCTAATAAACTATTCTCTGAAAATGGACTCTGAAATATTTCCCTAAAACTAGACTGAAATAATTTTGCCCGAAACATTGTGACAGGTAAGTGGGAACTAAAACTGAAAACATTTTCCCTGAAACCTCTGGTGCGTTAGCGAGAACTGGGACCCAAAACTTGAAATTCCCTGCTAATGGTCAGGTCTCCAAAATTGTGCATTTTTAAGCCGGTGTCGGCATTCATCCTCTTGCTTAATAGTGCAACAGGAGGACAAGGACCCTAAAGAATGCCACGAAGGCATTTAATACATCTTTGAAGCCAAAGATATTCTATTCTGGTTTAAATTTTCACTCGACCCCCGAGCGGTCAACGTCATAATCCCCTTAGTGTTTGTTGTTAATATCACTTAATAGTGGAGGCCTCCTATCTTCAGTAATTCTTTCTGGTGCTAGATGCACTGTACATTCTCCTTGCCTCTGCAATAAGTGGTGGAAATATGGGCATAGAATCTGCAGGTGTACAGTAGTAGTGATGTCTTTTTATCCTTTCTGTGGCGAACCTGGCCATTCTGTTAGATTGTTCTTTGGCCCATACTCATGTAACGGCTAAGGAAATCTCTGTATTATCCTTCTACATTATTCTCCTCATGCCATCTTTCTTTTACTTTCATCCCTCTCTCTCTCTCTCTCCTTTTCTCCTCTCTCCTTCCCAAGTCTATCTTCTTTCCCAGACGTTTATGGTTTATGACAGGACGAGAATAATCTCTCGTTTACGGTTGATGAATTTTCCCTCAAGGACAGTTTCCTAGAGGCACTAGGCCGATGTAAAAAAAACCACACCCTCTGGTCCTTCAAGATAGGCCTAGTTCTGTTGAGTGGCTTTTTGAAGGCCCAAAGGTGTGGCTTCAGAGCCTGAGGGGGTGAAGTTCCATAGCATCCTGGGCATATCTGTAGTTAACTCCTCAGTGTGAGCTTGACCGGGTGGGGTCATGGGTGTTGGTCAGCTCAGTGGGAAATAGAAAGCAAGGCAGGATAAGTTTGCAGAGTTTCTTCCCTCCCTTCCCAGAGTTTCTTTTTACCTTCCAGAAGGTAGATGCCCTGTTAGTTTACATATTCTTGTAGAACACTACACCTTGCCTCTTAGATATATAATATTTTAGAGTAGGATATAATTGATTTTCCATTAATAAAGTAGTGTTAAGTTGTAAAAACAATTTCAATTGTAAAAAACTATTTTGTTTTTAATAAAAACGATAAAAAACTAGTTAATTGCATATTAAAACTATTTAATATGCAATTAACTCATAATTAATTGCTGTAATTTTCATGAGTAAGGTTTCATGTACAGTTTCATATATTTCTTTCATGTATATATATGTAAAAATATACATGGCTCATGTATATTTAATTTTGAGTAAGGACCAAAAAGTTAAATTTTGTTAGTTAAACAAACCCCGTGTTTTAAATACCTTAAATTTTACCTGTTTAAATCTGTGAAAGGAGATTACTGAACAGTAATCTCCTTTCACAGATTACTGAACAGTAATCTCCTTTCACAGATTACTGAACAGTAATCTCCTTTCACAGATTACTGAACAGTAATCTCCTTTCACAGATTACTGTTCAGTAATCTCCTTTCACAGATTACTGTTCAGTAATCTCCTTTCACAGATTACTGAACAGTAATCTCCTTTCACAGATTACTGAACAGTAATCTCCTTTCACAGATTACTGAACAGTAATCTCCTTTCACAGATTACTGTTCAGTAATTCACTCAGCCTTATTTACACTATGGAGAGAGATTGGGAGAAGGGAGGAGAGGGGGGGGGGTTGAATTTAATCCATTATAAATTCCAAATCTTCAGAAAAGACGATTTTCTCTCGACTTTTTTTCGCATCTTCAGAACTGTAAAAGGGAAACAGTCTTAGCCTGCATGCGTAATGGCCACAGTGGGTTGACTCTTTAAGTACTTTACAGCTTCAGAAATTCTAGATAAGGCCCAAAGTTTTACTCTTAGCAAAATCGCTTAAAATCCTATATAACTTGTACTATCAAAAGTAGTCTGATGATAATTGATATGTTTTAATATTTGTCATCATTCTGGATCTTTCTAGTGCAGGCATTCAGTGAATTGATGCTATTATTCTTTTCTAAGAGAAGTTCAGAAACAGATTGGCCAGTGTTATAAGATGGGAACTTGAACGGTGAGTAGCGAAGGGGGTCCGGTAGGGTTGTATAAGCCTGGAGCCAGATTCACGAAGCAGTTACGCAAGCACTTACAAACCTGTACATGTTTTCTCAATCTTTGACGGCTTTGTTTACCATTATTAAACAGTTAATGAGCTCGGAAGCACCAGGAGGCTGTTTATAACAATAACAACAGTTGATTGGCAAGTTTTCACGCTTGTAAACTGTCTAATAAATGTAACCAAAGCCGTCAAAGATTGAGGAAAGATGTGTACACGTTCGTAAGTACTTGCGTAACTGCTTCGTGAATCTGGCCCCTGGTGTTTGGGGAGAGGTCTATATCTAGCGCTTTACTTTCGGCACAGGTATAACACATGAGAACAGTGGCACCTTTGAATTGATGTGAGCGATGTAGAGTATTCCACGTTTGAGATATACAAGAGTTGTTACATTCTTGTAGAGCCACTAGTACGCGTAGCGTTTCGGGCAAGTCCTTAATCCTATGGTCCCTGGAATACGATCCCCTGCCGCGAAGAATCGTTTTTTCATCCAAGTACACATTTTACTGTTGCGTTAAACAGAGGCTACAGTTAAGGAATTGCGCCCAGTAAATCCTCCCCGGCCAGGATACGAACCCATGACATAGCGCTCGCGGAACGCCAGGCGAGTGTCTTACCACTACACCACGGAGACTGTTTGTGTAAATAACGTATAATATCCATGTTTTTCAGGGTTGGATTGGAGTTTCAGTACTTACAAAATATGATGACTTACATGAAAATTGGACTGAAGCTGTCGCTGAAGCTTCATGATGAAATACAAGAGTTGTTGAAGCAGCATCTCATGTCAAAAGAAGCAGTAGACTTACTAGAGAAGTCTCTGGGACATATACGCAAGGCCTACGAGAAGCTCTCAAAGAAAGACTTCAGCGTACCTAATGTCCAACACAGCGTTCATGGCGCTTTATGTGATTTCTTACAATCAGGAGTGTTCGATCCTGAATTGAAGTACTTTGGCCGCTTCGTTAATATAATTGAAGATCTGTATAACATTGAGGAGGGTGCGATCAACAGTGACCAGAGACCATCACCAACATTCTACAAGACATATTTAAATCACCGTTATAACAGTGACGTTACTTCTGGGGACAATTGCACGCTATTGAACGTAGAAGTTGAAGAAAATTCATCCTTTGTAAGTATGCAATTGTCTTGTACACTAACAATGGTGTATATTATCACCATATTGGTATAGGTCGCTGGCCAGTGCTATCCTGGGACATGATGATAATATGCAGTATAAAGTTGATGTTGTGAGTAAGATATGATATCACCATATTGGTATAGGTTGCTGGCCAGTGCTATCCTGGGACATGATGATAATATGCAGTATAAAGTTGATGTTGTGAGTAAGATATGATATCACCATATTGGTATAGGTCGCTGGCCAGTGCTATCCTGGGACATGATAATAACATGCAGTATAAAGTTGATGTTGTGAGTAAGATATGATATCACCATATTGGTATAGGTCGCTGGCCAGTGCTATCCTGGGACATGATGATAACATGCAGTATAAAGTTGATGTTGTGAGTAAGATATGATATCACCATATTGGTATAGGTCGCTGGCCAGTGCTATCCTGGGACATGATAATAACATGCAGTATAAAGTTGATGTTGTGAGTAAGATATGAGGGCGCACTACTGCTCTATGTGTAATGGTGCGCGCCAGTATTTGATCATCTGCGTGAATATTACTCGTTTCACCAGCAATAGTAACTGCGTATGACTATACAGATGTGCTAACTGAAATATCCCATTTGGCTAATTCATATCATAATGGTCGTAGGAGACATTACCGCCGATGTGTCTCAACAAAATGCATACCTAATTATGGATGCAGAAAATTTCAATAATGCTGGTTTCAATGATGAATTCCATATTAACTAACTTTCTGTCATGGGATGGGTGAGGAAGGTGTCACTTTGATCACTCTTATTGATGATGGAGCTGGTCACATCTGTGGGTATAAGACCATTGATGGTGACAACCTGTCCGGACATCTTCCTATCATAAGAACATAAGAATGAAGGTAACTGCAGAAGGCCTGTTGGCACATACGAGGCAGTTCCTATGAGCTACCGTTAGAGTGTAGTGTACAGTGAGTTCAGTTGAGTACAGTGTACAGTATCATGTCCACCTTCAGTAAACCTAACTCACAAGTTGCTGCTCCCGGTGAGAACAAACTCCACCATGATGACTGACACCCCCTCTCCCTCAGATCTGGAAGAAAATCTGTAAGATTGTGGTTAAATTTGTTCCCAACATCTCGCGCGTCCTTCACCTCCATGGTTCTGTTGTGGCAGATCCGGTGTTGGTCGCCAACGAACCAGGTTCTCACTTTCCAACAGCTCCCATTATGAAGATCTATCTCTTCTCCCTCTCAGAAATCCTGTCTGCCCTGACCCTCTGCAGTTCTACAGTGGCAGGCTAAGACGGCATTCGTTATGACATTCTCCGTCATCTCCCTCACTGCACTTTTCAGTAGTCACTGAATATCTATAACCGTATTTGGGAGACGTCGTCAGTCCACGAGGACTGACTTGAGGCTGTTGTTCTTCCTGTTTGGAAACCCGGTACTCACGAGGACTGACTTGAGGCTGTTGTTCTTCCTGTTTGGAAATCCGGTACTCAAAGGACCTCCTCCCTGAAGATTTTCGCCCCATTGATTTGACGAGTTGCACTTGCAAACGTTTCGAACATATAGTCATTGACCATCTGGTGGGTTGTTCTTAGAACACTATCACCGCCTCTTCTCTTCTCAATTTGGTTTTCGCGAGTGTCGCAGCACGACTGGTGTTTTAGTGACTTAGATGTCTAAATTCGTACTACCTTTGCTGCAAAGACCTCCGTTGTTGCCGTTCTTTTTGATCTGGTAAAGACTTGTGGCACCACCGGGAAATACAATATTAAGTCCCAACTGTACTCTTTTGGCCTTCGTGGCAATCTCTCTCTTCCTTCAAAGCTTTCATTTTAGTTGTTCGTTAAAGTGAGATTTTGTATCACTTTTATTTATTCTTTTCGTCAATATGAAGGTGTTCCTCAACGTATTGTTCTGAGCACTACTTTTTTTCCTAGTTGTCCTAAATGGCCTTCCTCTCTTCCCTCTAACATTTTGACGGACCTCTATGTTGATGCTCTGCTGTCGGGGTGATGACCCCTTTCCTCTTAACAAGAGCTTCAACTTGTGATTGATGCCGTGTCATCCTGGGCCACCAAACATGGCTTTAAGTTCTCTACAACTATGACTTTTACTTGGAACCAGGTCGTTCCTTGTCCACCATTCATTGTTGCTCAATGGTAGTCCCTTTCTGTATAAAGCTTCTGCTAAGCTTTTGGGGCTGATCTTTAATTTTTTTTTGTCTTGGTCACCTCATATGCCTTTCCTCTGAGTTGAATGCTTTAAGGTCACTTTACCTTGTAAATAAGGTAACCTTACTTTAAGTCTAGTCCCATGCTTCCTGGGGAGCTGATAGATGCACCCTCCTCTATCTGCACTCTTCTCTCGTGTTGTCTGTTATCGTGATCCCGGACTACCTGAGGGGGTTGGGGGCTAATGGAGCTTAGACCTCCAAAGCTCTGAGGCTACTGCGCCAGGCTATTCCTTGCGTACAGGTAAACAACGTTCCCCCAACCACTCTCTGCCGGAACAGACAAACGACCTCGGCAGCCACACACTCGCTACCGACGATCGACCAACCAAAAACTGTAGAGTGCTTGTGTTTTGATCAGATCACCCTATACGCTTCCTGATCTTGGAGAGGGGGTTCAGCATCGCACATATAAGGGGTGCGCCTTCAACACTGGCCTCGTTGGCCTGTGCACACACTCAACTCGAGCCGCCGTGACTCCCCACTCTCCTTGGTTGGTATGATCTCCTCAATCCCCCTTTTCTGAAATATTATTATTCCGTACCATCCTGTCCACATCTGTGGTTCTTTCTCTCTTTCTCTTTTCTACTTTCTGGGAAGCCTCACTAGGACAAGGGTAAACACCTGTTAATTATAAACATTTAATACAACAAAGAACATACACAACACACACTTACATACAATACATAGGAATATAAACCTCTACACTTTATGATACTATAACCTGGTTGCAGTCCAATACCGTTATGGCTCTATCTGCCGTCTATACCAAGTGGCAGCCCAACTCCTGGCTCGCCACTTATTTAATCAACCTCACCAAGTGGATTAAATCTTGTAATACAATATAGCACAATCAGCTCTAGAATGTATATAAATACATATACAGGTAATGCAGCCTAAGGCTGTAACACTATGAACATCAATATAAATATTCCTTGATACAAAAATGACCAATCACTCACCTTTCACTGCGTCTTGCACGCCAAATGACACTCAAGCAAATAGTTACTCTATGAGTAACCAATATGAACCTCCTCCCTGTATCTAGAGGTTCACTACCCCTGAACATCTTCAGGTTCTCCCAGAATTGTCTACCAGGGTCTTTCACAGCTGCAGGCGATGAGTCACAATAACGTGGCTGAAGTATGTTGACCAGACCACACACTAGAAGTTGAGGGGACGACGACGTTTCGGTCCGTCCTGGACCATTCTCAAGTCGATTGAGAATGGTCCAGGACGGACCGAAACGTCGTCGTCCCTTCAACTTCTAGTGTGTGGTCTGGTCAACATCTTTCACAGCTCTTCCGGCTGCTACACCATGAAGTTTTCCTTGAAGAGCAATGGTGCTTCACCACTGGTACCACAGAAACACGTGAAACTCCACTCAACTGCTTCTCCTCATACAGTTTGAGGACCTGCTCCTCACTGTGGGGACTGCTCTTCCACAGAGCTCAGTATTTCTTCAATAGCCTTGGAGTTCCATCCACTGACTCCTTCTATTGGCCTCGAAGTTCTCTCAGCAACTCCTTCCTCCAGACAAACCACAGAGTTTGTTGTACACAGTGCGCGTCTTGGTCCCATCGTCTGACGGTGGCACGCTCCTTCGCCCACAAAGTCGCTGTTTAAACTGCTCCACAAGGCTCTTCTCCTTCTTGACTCGAGCACTAAGTCGTCCTCAGGCTTCATACAAGAACGCCTGATTAATTCTCCTCTTGACGGAGCATGTAACTAGAGATTCTTCCTCTGATACCAGGAGCTTAAACACACTGCATCTTGCTCCCACGACTTCCACTACTCGAGTAAGGTCAAGACCCTCTGCAGCGAGCCTCATACCTCCAGCGAGCCTCATAGCTCCAGCGAGCCTCACGCCTCCAGCGAGCCTCACACCTCCAGCAAACTCTCCATATCTCATGTCAAGTCATATGCTTGTGTACTTTATTCACTGTCCATGCTTTTAAACTATTCATCAAATATAATCAAATATTTAATATATATATTTCCACGTCCATATTTCTTCGACCTTTCAGTTAGGTCTGGTCTGGCAGAATAACTCAAGGGGGGTAGACTCGTTTCTTAGGCAGCTCGAGATCATAACACTGTACTCGATTATTGCTGTCTCACTAACTCGTCTGCCTCTGCTTCGACTCTTCGTAGTCTATTTATTTATTTATTTATTTATGCATATACAAGAATGTACATAAGGAATGTGAGGATACAAATATGGTAATTACAGTCTTGTAAAGCCACTAGCACGCGCAGCGTTTCGGGCAGGTCCTTAATCTAAGAAAATTTTAAGGAGGTAAATACTTGCAAAGTTTATAGACAAAAAAATGAAAACAGATTACATGGAATGAAAAAAAAAGAAGATGAGAGAAAATTATAGGTACAGTATAATAAAGCACATAGGTAGCTATGATTGATTGCAATGACAGCTTAAAATGGTAGTTGACAACAAATTGGTAGGCACAATACAGCAGAAACAATATAAGATTGATTGCAATGACAGCTTGAATGGTAGTTGACAAAAATTGGTAGTCACAATACAGCATATGGCTAGCACATAAAAGAAGACAGCAATGAACACAATGATAAGGTTGTTTGATATTACATAAAAATTAGGAGATTGGGTAACACTAGGTACAGAGCAAATTTAAAGCTCGGTGTAGGAAACTAAATAGATGAAGTTAGGTACTTTTTGGTTTTGCTTTTAAATAAGGCAAAAGTTTTACAGTTTTTCAATTCACTAGGGAGTGAGTTCCATA